ACCACACTTAAACTGAAATTAACATGGAAACTTCCATTGTAACAAATCTGCATTTTTTTTTTAAATAACAAAAACATGTAACAAAATTACTAAACTTAAATGATAATTAAAATGGAAACTTAAAATATAAAAATTAATTCAAAATATAAATAATACTAATATATAAACAGCACTAAAATAACACTTACTAGCCCAAGTCAAAAGCATTCATCCTCAAGTGTCTGTGATATTTTATTCTCTAGAAATGACTTGAGTTTACGAGAGGTTTTTGCTCTTTTAGTGTAATAACAGCACACCTCTAAACAGATTTTAATTGGCTCATAACTTCTTAAAGGGGCCCCACATGGGCAGAGGGGCTGTTTCGGATACAAATGGGTATATATATGCATTTCACTTAATACAGCCAGATGGCTTACCGAAATAAGCAAAACTATATAATATCTTTTAAAGCCTCTAATCTTTGACCATGCTGTATACTCCAGTTGAGGATGTTTTGAAACGGAGGTGCTCTAACTTGGAGTCATTTCAGCTCAACGTGGAATTTTTACAAGGTCTCTCAATAAACAATTGCAGGGGCCTTTTCTGCATTTTCACTCCAGCTCCTGAATCCCAAACGGAAAATTCCCAGCCTTTCCGACTCTAAGTATAGATGTTAGCCGGAGCGGTTCTCCATCTATAGTGAGTCACTGATTCCAGAGTACGGTCTACACTGACATTTGTTTGGTGTCTGTGCTCATCTAAATGCTGGAACGATTGATTGAGGGTAGGAAATGATGAATTATCTGTCTGGATGCCACATTATATCGCTCTTTCTTTCTTCATCTCTTCACTTGTGTTTTATTAGCCCTTTCCCAGCTCTTTCTCCTTTTCCCGTCCCTCCTCTCCCTTTCACCTCTTCTAATGCTTGTGTCCGCTATTCAAACCCTTCTGTATAGAATTGCCATTATTTAAAGGAGTATTTGAAGTTACAGCTTACATTTTGGTCTGTTCCTCACACAAGGGTTTTTCAGAGGACATCATACATTTTTTAGGTTTCATTCAGTTAATGCACAATCATCAAGAAAGGTTGAATAGTCATATACTCATGGATCTGCGTATGCACTAAAATTGTGTATTTCAAAGTGAAAACCGTTATTTTAAATTGTAATAATATTTCACCGTTTTTACTGTATTTTTGATCAAATAAATGCAGCCTTGCAGAGGAGACATCTTTCAAATACAAACAAACAGAAAAAAATCTTACCAACCAAACCTTTGAAAACAGGAAGGTATTGGGCAATGTTGGATGAAAAGGCATGTGCATTTACACATATGGATTTATGCATTATGCAAGTGTAATGCATTTACACTTATTCAACTTACATATTTTCGTTTTAAACATTCTTTTTAAATCTTGCTCTGCTCTTGAGGAATAATGTTCAAATGGATGCACACTTTAAAGAATCCATCAGAAACAGTGTTTCATTACATCTTGTTTTCAGCAAGCTGTGATTTGCGACGTACTCTATGTTTGGCTTATAGCAGACACGGCAGCTGTTGGTAATTCTCAGCTCCAATCTGGCAACCCTAATGATGTTGTGCCTCCAAAACATCAGTCACCAGACTAATCATAAACGGCCTTTATAAAGTCAAGCGCTCTGCTGGATTTAACCACATAACCGTGTGTGTGTACATGCATCATATGTACCTTGAAAATGCCTGCTAAAATTAGGCACAGCTTTGATTTTGAGTGCGAGTGCGTGTGTGTGTGTGTGTGTGTGTGTGTGTGTCTGTGTGTCTGTGTGTCTGTGTGTGTGCGAGCGTGCGTGCGAGTGTGTGTTTATGTGTCTGTATGAGTGTGTGTGAGTGAGTGTGTTTATGTGCCTGACAGTGTGCGTGTGTGTGTGTGATTTAATGGAGTTTTCTTGTCCTCCTGCAAACACGCACAGCTGAGGATGGTTTGCTGACTCATTCCAGCCGCTTGCTGTGTCCATGATCTGAGCTCTGACTCACGGCTACTGTAAGAGAAAGATAGGAGACTCAATTAAGGGAAACTCTGTGTGTGAAGTGAAAGGGACAGCAGACAGAACAGGGTTAAAGGTCATTAGAAAACGTGTTTTCTCACACAGTTAAAAAATTTCAGTAGGCTATTTACTTCTTTCCGTGAACAGTTTAACAGTGAATGTTTTTCCAAGGGGAAAAATGTTTGTCTTTAAGGGAGTTGCTTTATGAATGGGCTTGATAGTTGTGAAAATAATGTCACATTCACAATGCAAAAATGGTTTTATTGTCTATATATGCAAAATATATTGATTTTATTTTATTATTTATTTTATTGTATTTTATTTACAGGTAGAAATGATCATTTGAACAAGGTGAAGAAAAGGCTTAAAAATTACGTTGTTTGTTTGCAAAAATAACCTTTTGCAAAAGGATGAGAATTAAATGAAAGGCTAGTATGAAATAAAATTAATTCATTCATTCATTCATTAATTTTTTAGGTAGCAATTAGCTTTTTGCAAAATGTTTGATAATGATACGAAAGGCTTGGAAATGAATGTATTAATTTAAATTAATTTATTATTTATTTGTTATATTTATACAATTTATTATTATTTTATTTATTTATTTATCTGTTTTATTTATAAAAAAATTTAGGCAGAAACTATCTTTTTCAAACGATTGCGAATGATATGAATATCAATAATATTTCTATATATTTATTTATTTTATTGTATTTTATAAATTACCTTTAGCAAAGGGTTGAGAATCATACAAACACTTAAAAATGAACTAATGCAAAACATTTCATTTATTTATTCATTTATTTATTGAACTTTATTTTTTAAAGGTAGAAATTACCTTTTGCAAAGATTGAGAATCATTACTTCATATGAAATGTTTTTTAAATTTAATTTAATTGTATTTTATTTTTAGATAGACCTTTGGCAAAATGTTTAGAATCATTACTTCATGCAAAATATTTTTATTTTGTTTTGTTTATTTGTTTATTTAGCAGAATGTTGAGAATGATGTGAAAGGCATAGAAATGACCCTGCCTATGCAAAATATGATTTTTTATTTATTTATTCATTATTTTTTTTATTTTTAGGTGGAAATTATTTTTTGCAAAAGGTTGAGAATTATATGAAAGGCTTAGAAGTTACCTTATGCTAAATATTTTTATTTATTTAATTGGAAATGACGTGGACATTTGATTGATTGATTATTGGCCTGTCACTTACAGTTTGTCATTTCTTGGTTCTCTCTGTTTCTCAGGTAAACTGTCATGATTCCCATCACTGAGTTGCGATACTTTGCTGATACACAGCCGGCGTATCGGATTCTGAAACCATGGTGGGACGTGTTCACAGACTACATCTCCATCGTCATGCTGATGATCGCGGTGTTCGGTTGCACGCGGCAGGTCACGCAGGACAAAATGATTTGCCTGCCGTGCAAATGGGTCGTCAACCAGACCTGCGAACAACTCAACGTCAGCGTGCCACTCAATGCCGAGCCCAAGGGCATCCAGTACGACCTCGACAGACACCAGTACAACTACGTGGACGCCGTGTGTTACGAGAACAAGCTGCACTGGTTCGCAAAGTACTTCCCGTATCTGGTGCTGCTGCACACGTTGATCTTTCTAGCTTGTAGTAACTTCTGGTTTAAGTTTCCGCGGACCAGTTCGAAGCTGGAGCATTTCGTGTCGATCCTGCTGAAGTGTTTCGACTCGCCGTGGACGACGCGGGCGCTTTCTGAGACAGTGGTGGAGGAGAGCGACCCGAAGCCGGCGGGGAAGATGAATGGCTCGATGGATAAGAAAACCTCCAGCGTCAGCGACCAGGATGTGGAGGCAAGCGTTCCCATGCTGCAGAGGACCAAGTCCCGCATCGAGCAGGTAAAAATAACCTTTTGCTGAAGCTTGAGAATGATATAAAAGGGTAGGAAATAAAAATATTATAGGCTTAGAAATTAATTATTTTATTAGTTATTTATATTATTAATAATTTATATAATTTATTATTTATTAATTTATTATTATTTATTAATTGCAAAAGATTGAGAATGATATTAAAGGCTCAAAAAATATTTCTATTTATTTATTTTATTTTAGAAATTACCTTGAGAATCATACTTTCAACACTTAGAATTAAATGACCATATGCAATATATATATATATATATATATTATTTATTTACTTAAACTTTACTTTTAGGTAGAAATTAAATTACCTTTCGCAAAAGATTGAGAATCATATGAAGGCTTAGAAATTACATCATGCTAAATTTTTGTTATTTTATTTTTGGTAGACCTTTTACAAAATGTTGAGAATGATGTGAAATGACATAGAAATGACCCCGCTTATGCAAAATGTTTTGGTTTTTTAATTAATTAATTAATTTTTCTAGATAGAAATTACCATTTGTAAAAGGTTGAGAATGATATGAAAGGTTACCTTATGCCCTTATGCTAAAAATTTATTTTTTATTTCATTTGATTTCATTTATTTCATTAGGTAGAAATGACGTGGACCCTGGAGCACTGGAGCACAAAAGCAGTCTTAAGTCGCTGGGGGATATTTGTAGCAATAGCCAACAATACATTGTATGGGTCAAAATTATAGATTTTTCTTTTATGCCAAAAATCATTAGGATATTAAGTAAAGATCATGTTCCATGAAGATATTTTGTAAATTTCCTACTGTAAATATATTAAAACTTAATTTCTGATTAGTAATATACATTGCTAAGAACTTCATTTGGACAACTTTAAAGGCGATTTTCTCAATATTTAGATTTCTTTGCACCCTCAGATTCCAGATTTTCAAATAGTTGTATCTCTCCAAATATTGTCCTATCCTGACAAACCATACATCAATGGAAAGCTTATATCTCAATTTTAAAAAAAATTTACCCTTATGACTGGTTTTGTGGTCCAGGGTCACATTTGATGAGTTATTATTTGATTGTCACTACCGGTTTGTCATTTTTCACTCACGTTCTTTGTTTCTCAGGTAAACTGTCATGATTCCCATCACTGAGTTGCGATACTTCGCTGATACACAGCCGGCGTATCGTATCCTGAAACCATGGTGGGACGTGTTCACAGACTACATCTCCATCGTCATGCTGATGATCGCGGTGTTCGGTGGCACGCTGCAGGTCACGCAGGACAAAATGATTTGCCTGCCGTGCAAATGGGTCGTCAACCAGACCTGCCAACAACTCAACGTCAGCGTGCCGCTTAATGCCGAGCCCAAGGGCATCCAGTACGACCTCGACAGACACCAGTACAACTACGTGGACGCCGTGTGTTACGAGAACAAGCTGCACTGGTTCGCAAAGTACTTCCCGTATCTGGTGCTGCTGCACACGCTGATCTTTCTAGCGTGTAGTAACTTCTGGTTTAAGTTTCCGCGGACCAGTTCGAAGCTGGAGCATTTCGTGTCGATCCTGCTGAAGTGTTTCGACTCGCCGTGGACGACGCGGGCGCTTTCTGAGACGGTGGTGGAGGAGAGCGATCCGAAGCCGGCGGGGAAGATGAACGGCTCGATGGATAAGAAAACCTCCAGTGTCAGCGACCAGGATGTGGAAGCAAGCGTTCCCATGCTGCAGAGGACCAAGTCCCGCATCGAGCAGGGCATCGTGGACCGTTCGGAGACGGGCGTCTTGGAAAAGAAGGAAGGAGAGCAGGCCAAGGCGCTGTTTGAGAAGGTGTGTTCATATGATTTATTTAAGAGCTGGTCTCAAGTCACAAGCAAGACGTCTAGCGAACAGCACTGTGTTCTAAAATCCTAATGAGGTGCCTCTGTGGTGAGCGTTTCAAGGCATCATAGGCACACTATTTTTAAGTTCATTCCTCCAAAATACCTTCTTTTGGCAAAATTCAAAGGCAGCATTAGTGTAGAGTGCAATCACAGATTTGCATTGTGATTAAATATGCTTAAATATGAATGTATATACAATTTGTGAATATATACTTCAAATACTAATAAATAAAATATACCTATTTTTTCTGCATCAGAAAGGGCTTTATTGCCAAGTGTGTTTTGGTGACAGGAGCTTCCAGTGCAAAGAAAAAGTACAGACATGCATATAATCAAATGAAATATAACACTAATAATAAAGAGAATAGACAATCAATAAAATAATAATAACTATGTGCAATTGACTGTTTCATCCAATACTGAAATATTGATAAATATTGTTTCATAAATATTCAAATATTAATATTTAATAAACATATTTATCATTTATAATTTTATTCTTAATTAATTTACTAGTAATAAGTAAAATATAGTTATTTTAGCCAGTGCTGATAAGTACTGCCTTACATCCTTACGTAAATACCAATATATATTTAATAAATATATTTATAATTTATACTTTTATACTCCATATCAGGCGATGCCAAAAATATTATTACATATATATTTAATACAAATATTTATAATGTATACTTTTATACTTACTTCATATACTAATAAATAAAATAGTTTTTTTATTAATATATATATATATATATATATACGTGTGTGTGTGTATATATATATATATATTTAATTTATACATTTACACTTACTTCATATACTAATAAATGAAATATAGTAATTTCTTGCAATGCTGAAAAGAATATTTATAGCTAAATATTATCAAATAAATAAATATTTATATATTAACGTATATTTATTAAATATATTTAGACGTTTGTGCTTACTTCATATACTAATAAATAAAATATAGTTATAGATAAGGATTGATAAATATAAATAAATATTTTAATTTTTTTATTTTATTTGTGTCACATTGTTAACATGATTTATGCAGTTCCATTTCAGTTAGGATGCCTTTGAAGGACGCTGTCTATGTAGGTAGTGGACTGCGAAGTAGTTCACTAGGTAAAAAAAATTTACCCTTATGACTGGTTTTGTGGTCCAGGGTCACATTTGATGAGTTATTATTTGATTGTCACTACCGGTTTGTCATTTTTCACTCACGTTCTTTGTTTCTCAGGTAAACTGTCATGATTCCCATCACTGAGTTGCGATACTTCGCTGATACACAGCCGGCGTATCGGATTCTGAAACCATGGTGGGACGTGTTCACAGACTACATCTCCATCGTCATGCTGATGATCGCGGTGTTCGGTGGCACGCTGCAGGTCACGCAGGACAAAATGATTTGCCTGCCGTGCAAATGGGTCGTCAACCAGACCTGCGAACAACTCAACGTCAGCGTGCCACTCAATGCCGAGCCCAAGGGCATCCAGTACGACCTCGACAGACACCAGTACAACTACGTGGACGCCGTGTGTTACGAGAACAAGCTGCACTGGTTCGCAAAGTACTTCCCGTATCTGGTGCTGCTGCACACGTTGATCTTTCTAGCTTGTAGTAACTTCTGGTTTAAGTTTCCGCGGACCAGTTCGAAGCTGGAGCATTTCGTGTCGATCCTGCTGAAGTGTTTCGACTCGCCGTGGACGACGCGGGCGCTTTCTGAGACAGTGGTGGAGGAGAGCGACCCGAAGCCGGCGGGGAAGATGAATGGCTCGATGGATAAGAAAACCTCCAGCGTCAGCGACCAGGATGTGGAGGCAAGCGTTCCCATGCTGCAGAGAATTAATTTATTATTTATTTGTTATATTTATACAATTTATTATTATTTTATTTATTTATTTATCTGTTTTATTTATAAAAAAATTTAGGCAGAAACTATCTTTTTCAAACGATTGCGAATGATATGAATATCAATAATATTTCTATATATTTATTTATTTTATTTTATTTTATAAATTACCTTTAGCAAAGGGTTGAGAATCATACAAACACTTAAAAATGAACTAATGCAAAACATATTTATTGAACTTTATTTTTTAAAGGTAGAAATTACCTTTTGCAAAGATTGAGAATCATTACTTCATATGAAATGTTTTTTAAATTTAATTTAATTGTATTTTATTTTTAGATAGACCTTTGGCAAAATGTTTAGAATCATTACTTCATGCAAAATATTTTTATTTTGTTTTGTTTATTTGTTTATTTAGCAGAATGTTGAGAATGATGTGAAAGGCATAGAAATGACCCTGCCTATGCAAAATATGATTTTTTATTTATGATTTATGATTTCATTATTTTTTTTATTTTTAGGTGGAAATTATTTTTTGCAAAAGGTTGAGAATGATATGAAAGGCTTAGAAGTTACCTTATGCTAAATATTTTTATTTATTTAATTGGAAATGACGTGGACATTTGATTGATTGATTATTGGCCTGTCACTTACAGTTTGTCATTTCTTGGTTCTCTCTGTTTCTCAGGTAAACTGTCATGATTCCCATCACTGAGTTGCGATACTTCGCTGATACACAGCCGGCGTATCGTATCCTGAAACCATGGTGGGACGTGTTCACAGACTACATCTCCATCGTCATGCTGATGATCGCGGTGTTCGGTGGCACGCTGCAGGTCACGCAGGACAAAATGATTTGCCTGCCGTGCAAATGGGTCGTCAACCAGACCTGCGAACAACTCAACGTCAGCGTGCCGCTCAACGCCGAGCCAAAGGGCATCCAGTACGACCTCGACAGACACCAGTACAACTACGTGGACGCCGTGTGTTACGAGAACAAGCTGCACTGGTTCGCAAAGTACTTCCCGTATCTGGTGCTGCTGCACACGCTGATCTTTCTAGCGTGTAGTAACTTCTGGTTTAAGTTTCCGCGGACCAGTTCGAAGCTGGAGCATTTCGTGTCGATCCTGCTGAAGTGTTTCGACTCGCCGTGGACGACGCGGGCGCTTTCTGAGACGGTGGTGGAGGAGAGCGATCCGAAGCCGGCGGGGAAGATGAACGGCTCGATGGATAAGAAAACCTCCAGTGTCAGCGACCAGGATGTGGAAGCAAGCGTTCCCATGCTGCAGAGGACCAAGTCCCGCATCGAGCAGGGCATCGTGGACCGTTCGGAGACGGGCGTCCTGGATAAGAAGGAAGGAGAGCAGGCCAAAGCGCTGTTTGAGAAGGTGTGTGAGGATGATTTATTTAAGAGTTGCTCTCAGGTCACAAGTGGGACGTCTAGTGAACAGCGCTGTGTTCCAAAACCTAGTGAGCTGCCTCTGTAGTGAGCGTTTCAAGGCATCGTAGGTGCACTTTTTAAAATGTATTCCTCCAAAATGACTTCTTTTGGCTAAATTCAAAGGCAGCATTAGTGTAGAGTGCAATCACAGATTTGCAATGTGATTTAAATATGAATGTATTTATAATTTGTACATTAATACTTCATATACTAATTAATAAAATATACCGATTTCAACCAATTCTGAAATATTGATAAATCATATTATGTAAATATTTATACAAAAGTGTAATAAATAATTTAAAATGTACTTATGTTTACTTCATATGCTAATAAATAAATTGGTTATTTCAGCCAGTGCTAAAAAGTATTGATAAATATTATTACATAGATAATTATATATAAATATATATTTAGAATGTGTACTTATTCATATACTAATTTATACTTATACATAATTCATATAATATATAAAATTATAATAAACAATTGATAAATATTATACATAAATATGTATGTATTAATATATATTTATGTATAATATTTATCAATTGTTTATTATAATTTTATATATTATATGAATACTAAAAATATGAAATACTGAAATATGAAGTACAAATCATAAATATATTTATTGATAAATATTATACATAAATATGTATGTATTAATATATATTTAATAAATATATTTATTATTTGTACTTCATATTTCAGTATTTCAGCCAATGCAGGAAATTATCGATAAATATTTTTAAATTAATATATTTAATAAATATATTTATAATTTATAATTACTATATTTTATTTATTAGTATATGATTTAGCTTATACAGAAAAGTATTAATATTATACATAAATATGTATGTATTAATATATATTTAATAAATATATTTATTATTTGTACTTCATATTTCAGTATTTCAGCCAATGCAGGAAATTATCGATAAATATTATTACATAAATATTTTTAAATTAATATATTTAATAAATATATTTATAATTACTATATTTTATTTATTATTATATGATTTAGCTTATACAGAAAAGTATTAATAACACAAACACATTTACTTAATACAATAATAAATAATATATGATCTAATAAATACATATTTATATACTACTATATATTTAATAAATATATTTATATATTAATGCTTACTTCATATATTAATAAATATAAAAAGTCATTTTGTCCAATGCTAAAAAAAATTTGAAAATACTATTAAATATAAATTCATGTATTCATATATTTAATAAATGTTTATACATTTTTGCTCACTTCATATACTAATAAATAAAATATATTTATTTAATCTGATGCTGAAAAATATTTGTTATTATTAAATGTAATTTTATATATTAATATTCGATAAATATTATTACATAAATATTTTTAAATTAATATATTTAATAAATATATTTATAATTACTATATTTTATTTATTATTATATGATTTAGCTTATACAGAAAAGTATTAATAACACAAACACATTTACTTAATACAATAATAAATAATATATGATCTAATAAATACATATTTATATACTACTATATATTTAATAAATATATTTATATATTAATGCTTACTTCATATATTAATAAATATAAAAAGTCATTTTGTCCAATGCTAAAAAAAATTTGAAAATACTATTAAATATAAATTCATGTATTCATATATTTAATAAATGTTTATACATTTTTGCTCACTTCATATACTAATAAATAAAATATATTTATTTATTATATATTATATATATATATATATATACTGTATATATCATCTTAAAAGTATAATTATTTCATATACTACTAAATAAAATATAGTTATTGATAGATATTTCGTTTTATTTGTCACATTGTTAACATTTCAGTTAGGATGCCTTTGAAGGATGCAGTCTATGTAGGTAGTCTGCTAGGTTTTGGAACGGAGCCCAAATATTCTGAATATATGGTCTCATCTCATCCTCCTCTCTTTTCAGGTGAAGAAGTTCCGTATCCACGTGGAGGAGGGTGACATCGTTCACCGTCTTTACATCCGCCAAATCATCATCAAAGTCATCCAGTTCCTCATCATCATCTGCTACACCATGTACTACGTCCACCACATCAAGTTCAGTGTGCCGTGCACCGTGGACATCGAGCGGCTGACCGGTTATCGCACGTACCACTGCGCCCATCCTCTGGCCACGCTCTTTAAGATCCTGGCCTGCTTCTACATCAGCCTGGTGGTGGTTTACGGTCTCATCTGCATGTACACGCTGTACTGGATCATCAGCCGCTCGCTAAAGCGCTACTCCTTCGAGTCCATTCGTGAGGAGAGCAGCTACAGCGACATCCCCGACGTCAAGAACGACTTCGCCTTCATGCTGCACATGATCGATCAGTACGACCCGCTGTACTCCAAGCGCTTTGCCGTCTTCCTGTCGGAGGTCAGCGAGAACAAACTGCGACAGCTGAACCTGAATAACGAATGGACTCTGGAGAAACTCAGACAGAGGATAACCAAAAACTCGCAGGAGAAGCTGGAGCTGCACCTCTTCATGCTGAGCGGCATCCCGGACACAGTGTTTGACCTGGTCGAGCTGGAGGTGTGTGGCTTTGTGTGTGTCAACGTTTGTATATGTGACCCTGGAGCACAAAATCAGTCATAAATAGCACGGGTGTATTTGTAGCAATAGCCAAAAATACATTGTAAGGGTCAAAATTATCGATTTTTGTTTTATGCCAAAAATCATTAGGATATTAAGTAAAGATCATGTTCCATGACGTTATTTGGTAAATTTCCTACCGTAAATATATCAAAAAATATTTGATTAGTAATATGCATTGCTAAAGACCAGTGCCGATCCTAGACTTCTTGGGGCCCTACGCAAAACTGGAGGAGATTAATGAATGAACGAATGAATGAAACGCATTTGTCCGTGTCTCGAATCGCGCTCGCGGAAAGCGCGTGAGAAACAGTGTCTCTTCCGCGGCTCGGTACGCTTTCAACTCATTTTTTTTTAGCCTCGAGCATAACTATGACATTCACATTACATTATTTGACTGATTTTTACGTAGAAAGGGCGACAGCGCACCGCATTAAAAGAAATGATCATTTATGTTTTCATAACCGCTGTCCAAATTCAAAAACAAAACTAAAATTAAATAATCTTTGAGAGCAGCGGGGCCCCCTGTTGTTTGCGTATAGGGAGGATCGGCTCTGCTAAGGACTTAATTTGGACAACTTTAAAGGTACTTTAAAACATTTCAAACTTTAAATGCTTTTTTTTTTTTTTGCCCCCTCAGTTCCCAGATTTTCAAATAGTTGTATCTCAGCCAAATATTGCCCTATCCTAACAAACCATACATCAATGGTTGATGTATAAATCTCAATTTCGAAAAATTTACTCTTATGACTGGTTTTGTGGTCCAGGGTCACATTTGTAAAACTCCTACCGAATGCATATTTAAAGAGTTAGTTCACCCAAAAATGAAAATTAGCCCATGTTTTACTCGCCCTCAAAGCGTCCTAGATGTATATGACTTTCTTCTTTCAGACGAATCCAATCGGAGTTAAATTAAAAATTATCCTGGCTCTTCCAAGTGTTAGAATGGGAGTAAGGGGGTGTTTTTGTTCAGCAGTCCAAAAGTAGTCAAATAAAGCGCATCCATCCATAATAAAACGTGCCTCAAACGGCTCCTGGCGGTGAATAAAGGCCTCATGTAGAGAATCCATGCGTTTTTGTAAGAAAAATATCCATATTTACAATGTTATAAACTATTTTTTTCTCACTTCCAGGGACTGTCGTACGTGCAAGCCATTCAGGTGGGTGACGTAGGACTTATGCACGCGCGCCTCTGAGATATGCTAGTCTCGCGAGTTTGTTAACAGGAGCAAAGGAAGCAATGTTTCCTTACTTTAGCAAGGGAAAGCCTGTCTCCTCTTGGCTTATATCGAAATCCTCCAACATTTTTCTTTACAAAACCTCGTTTTGTGCTTCTAATTCGTGACCGACATTTTGTTTTGCAGCTCTCCGCACTTCCGCATTCATCACTAATAATGCCGCGTGCGCTATGCATCCGTCCTGCGTCATCCGCCGGAACGGCTTCCGCCTACGACAGTCAGCAGAAGTGAAAGAAAAGTGTTTATAACGTTTTAAATATGGCTATTTTTCTTGCAAAAACGCATCAATTTGCTACAGGAGGCCTTTATTCACCCCCCCGGAGCCATGTGAGGCACGTTTTATTATGGATGGATGTGCTTTATTTGACTACTTTTGGACTGCTGAACAAAACCACCCGCCCACTGCCATTATAAAGCTTGGAAGAGAAAGGACAATTTTTAATATAACTCCGATTGGATTCGTCTGAAAGAAGAAAGTCATATACACCTAGGATGCCTTGAGGGTGAGTAAAACACAGGCAAATTTTCATTTTTGGGTGAAGTATCCCTTTAAAGTCAGACGTTTCAGGTCGTGCTTATAGGCCTGTTCAAGACCTGCTTAAAGTAGCCTGTTCTCTGCTAAACTTCAACTTGAGCAGGGCTGCACAGTTAATCAAAATTACACTGAAATCCGCAATATGTTGTGCAGTTATAACATGGCAAAGACTGCTTTGTATCTTCTGTTGAAAACAAAAGAAGATATTTTGAAGAACGTTGGAAATCTGTTTCGGTTCCTGAACATCCCTTTGACAAAAAAATACAATGTAAGACAATGGGAACCGAAGCTGTTTGGTTAATGTCTTCCTTTATGTTTCACAGAAGAAAGAAACTCATAGCTCTGCAGCTTTCCACCAAAATAAAAGCTTGAAGGTTTAACGTTGTGAAATAAAGAAATAAAGACTGCCATAAATAATAGTATTGTTATTTAACCAATTTACCATAATTTAAAACATTAATAATATTTCTTATTTTGTTTAACATTTGTATTTAGCAGTAATAATAATATATGATTATTATTGTTTTAATTAATACATTTATTTAAATTATAAAAAATTATTATTTTATAGTCATATTGATATAATCACCAAATGTTTGGTCAGATTATACAGCCCTAAAAACAATTAATTTAAATAAATTAAATATTTTAAAATAATTATAATAATACTACTAATATTTTGTAAAAAGTTTTAATTGATTTATTTAAGTTATGGTTTTATAGTCATATTGAGGAATTCACAAACTGATTGACCAAATTATGCAGCCCTATGAATAATTTATTTAAATAAGTAATTTAAAATATTATTATTATTATAAATTATTTATTAAATACAATTATTTGTAGGGCTGTATAATTTGGCCCCCCCCAAAAAAAGTCATAGTTCAGTTTCTTCCCCAAAGCATGAGTCCAGTTCAGCTTCCCCTTAAGTAACCGCTTGTGTGCAGTAAGATTACTCTGTAAGATCACGTTTTACTTTTCACAGCTGCTTAGGAGGAAGTTAGAGCTGTTTCCTCACACATGGCTTGCTTTCTTTTCTTTCAGGTTTTTAATTCTTAAAGGCAAAGTGTGTAATTTCTGTGCCATTGATGTCACCGAATGGAATTGCAAAAATAATGAGGTTTCTGGAATAATATCCTCTATATGCTATTGGTCAAAAAAAGATAGCCCCGCCCCAGTCGCACACCACTGGTTGCTTTAACTGCAGGTAAATGTATTCTCTGTGTTTCCTGCAGGTGCTGAAATTGGAGCTGATCCCTGATGTTACGATCCCGCCCATAATCGCACAGCTGTGTAACCTGAGGGAGATGTGGCTTTACCACACGCCGGCCAAAATCGAGGCTCCTGCTCTGGCCTTCCTCCGCGAGAACCTCAAATCACTACACATAAAGTTCACAGACATTAAGGAGATCCCACTGTGGATCTACAGCCTCAAGAACCTCAGCGAGCTTCATCTGACCGGAAACCTCAGCGCGGATAACAACCGATTCATCGTCATCGACGGCCTGCGGGAGCTCAAGAGGCTCAAGGTCCTGCGGCTGAAGAGCAACCTCACTAAACTGCCTCAGGTGAGATGATGTTACTCTCACAAATTCATCAGCACGTTCAGAAAGGCATGATGTCAAAATTATTTGCATTCTTATTACATGTTCCTAGTCTTGTTGGGCTTGGTTTATCAGTGCACATTATTATGAAGACAAAAAAAATATTTTATTGAAATCATGTAGCAAAAAAAAGTTGTATAAATATATAAATAATATATGTATAATTTAAATGGTTTGTAATTTAAATTATGTAGAAATGTATTGTTAATATAAATATCAATAATATAGTATTGTTTAAATAATTTGTATAAAATAATCGTTTTATCTTTTGGTAAAAAAAAATCTTTATAATATTATGTGCGTAATAGAAAAGACATTTATTTATATATATATATATATATATATATATATATATAAATTATAGAAACTATTTTATTATTTACCTTTATTTTAAGGTGTCCTCATTACACATGTTACATGTACTTAACAACAATTAATTATGCGTAATTGCATGCAAGTAACCCTAAAACAAATCCTAATCCTATCCCTAACCATATAGTAAGTACATGTAGGTAATTAATATTACTCAGTACTTAAATGTATAATTACACTGTAACAATGACACCTTAAAATAAAGTGAAACCAAAATTTTATTAACAATTTAATTATGATATACAGCATTTTGGTCATTGTTATAATAATTTTTTTATAATAAAATATTGTATACAAAATATTTCATTTATATAATTATATAGCTTAAAATATGTATATAATTTCATGAATTTATATAATTAAACTTAATATAATAAATATAATATTATATAATATAATGTTTATAATAAAAATAGTATATATAATAAATTATAGGCTATAGATAATATATTAATGTATATTATTTATATTACATATAATAAATAGTTCTTTCCTTCAGAGATAATCTGCGATATTTACCAATAGTAAAAATAACTTCTGTATTTATGCGTTGTGTTATGCTAGGTAGGTATTAGGGCTGTCAAAATGGCTGAAAATCTAAATTAAATTTTTTTTACTTAAATATTATCAATATTCGAATTATATTCTCAGGCCACAAGGGGGCGCATCGAACAAAATATTATGCACGTTTCTTCAAAGCGTAATAAAATAACATGACTATCTTTGAAAAAAGTACATAATGTTTAAAATAATGTTTATAAACCTTATATAATTAAAGTTGCTTAAACAATTAGAAACAAAACAGCATCATGCATGTATGTATAGTTTAATACAAAGGACCGAAAACCAATCACAAAGAGTACTTTCTTCATTTAAAAAACTTAAAGTGGTCATATGATGCTATTCATTATTTTGTGTATTTGGTGTAACAGAATATGTTGACATGCTTTAATGTTCAAAAAACATATTATTTTTCAAATACGGTACATTATTGTAGGTCCTCTATCCCCCGCCTCTCTCAAACGCTTCGTTTTCAACAAAGCCCCTCCTTTGACAAGCGCAGTCTGCACTGATTGGCCAGCTGACCCAGTGCATTGTGATACTTTTACATGGTTTTCGAAACATGCGTCTCTCTTGTGAGAGACACGAGTGCAATGGTGATAGATGTCCCTCTAGAAAATGTGATAAACATACGTTCTGTGTGAACGGTTTGGTTTCGGTTTTGATGTAAACAACATCATCTCCGCATTGATGTTCTTTTTTCCCCGCAATATTCTGAATGAACAACGTAGCAGCGCCGCATCTAGTCGGTTCAACTGGATAGGCTAACAAAAGCATTAAAATGCAATGACACTTACATCCACTGATAAGGTGCACGAATTTTATTTTATTTAATGCAACGTTTTTGCATTAGAATGTTGATTTTTATTTGAAATTCGACGAATTTTCGAAATTAAAGTTTTTTTTTTTGACAGCCCTAGTAGGTATGCAGGTGTGTTATGCTTGTTGTAGGTATTTTTGTAAATATTCAGAACAACATGTTGCAAAAATTTATTCATATGTAATTTACTACAGAAAAAAGTGGAGATAGAAGACCAATGGGGAAATTCTAATAATCATCCTAATGTTCTTACCTCTGGTGCTGTTTGTAATCTAACAGCTGAATATATTCACACAGAATTGTGTTTTATAACTCCTTTAGGAACAAATAATGATTCCAGCACATCTTCTTCCCCCTGCAGGTGGTGACGGACGTTGGCGTTCACTTGCAGAAGCTCTCCATCAATAACGAAGGGACCAAACTGATGGTTCTGAACAGTCTGAAGAAGATGATGAACCTGACGGAGCTGGAGCTGCTGCGCTGTGATCTAGAGCGGATCCCGCACTCCATATTCAGCCTGCACAATCTACAGGTCATCAGTCATCCTTCATAACTCTGCATAATACCTGTGCTTGTGCCAGAATGGATTTTCCATACATTATGGAAAGTTTCATTTGAATTTTTGAACTCGGCATCATAATTTTTGGGCCTTTTTGCTGTTATTTTAAAAGATGCAATAATTTGCAATAGGGGTGTAACGGTACACAAACATGACGGTTCGGTTTTGACGTCACGGTTCGGTATGGTTTCGTTGTAGCAGGAGGAAATAAACTAAACATAAATTGCTTTTTTTTTTTTTTAAACAATGTTTAACAAATTGCTCTTTCTTTAAATAAATTAAATTATAATTAAAATTTTCTTTACATCTACCTTATAAAATAAAATCGACCTCAGCTTCTGCTATAAACTACAGGGAGCCCTTTTACGTTACTATAAGGTTACAATTAACAAGTGCCCAAACTCAAATTTAATTACTGTTTATTTTTAACTATAATAATCAACACTCAAATTAAAAAATTGTATGCAATCATGTAAAATGCTATGTGACATCTTGATTACAAGCCGTTTTAATCGCATCTTTCCACGAGTGAAACACTGATTGTGCGATTACATGAGGCATGAGATGTTAATTCACGTAAAATAAAACTAGTAAAGAGGAAGGGATGATCGCACTCACTTGAGTTTATACAGCGATCTGTCGCGCCACATCAAAGAGCGCCAAAATGCCATTTATTGTCTAAATTTCCTGGAAAAATTGAATGATTTGTTCGGTATACGTGCGTACCGAAACGAAAGACCCATACCGAAAATATTCGGTACGAATATGTGTACCGTTACTCATTAGAATTTTATATACACGACATTCCCAATCATAGTTATTAATGTTGTGCACTGCTGTTTGAGTTTATCACCGGTAAACTGAAGCGCTCTTTTTAACTTAACCAAACGCATTCTATATGAGATAAATCAGATATACATCAAATAAACACAATATTACAACGTACAATTGCACAAAAGGCTGCAAACGAACAGCGCGCATCTGAAGTGTCTCTGAAGGAAATAATGCATTATTTATCGGCTTTAAGATATCGGCCAAATTTTCTTATCAGGCCGATACTGATAACAGAAAAAATGAGCCGATATGGGCCGATACCGATATGGTGGCCGATATATCGTGCATCCCTAGTTACACTAGGGCTGCATGATTATGACAAAAATTATAATTGTCGATTATTCCGTTGAAATTGTAATTGCAATTTATTAATTACGATTATCAGAATTTACATTGAATGACGTTTATACCATTGTTTGATGCAACTGCATGCTGTATTTTTATATGAAAATAAACAAGCTGAAAACACTTTTAACAGAAAAACCTTTAGTGCTTTTCTATAGTATTAAGCCTCAAATGTCAATCGGATTGGTTTCTTCTTTAAATTATAAAAAAAGTAAAAATATGAATGGTATTATAATGTTATACTAAAACTAAACATAATTGTGGCGTCCGTAATTGTAATCGCGATTAGAAATTCGATTAATTGTGCAGCCCTACGTTTACACCCCTAAATTGCAATGTATATGCATGTAAAACCAGATTATTGAGTGTCTTAAACTTGCTGTGTTGTATAAATGCTGTACATTTCTTAATGCTTGGCATCATGCCACAGGTATTTTCATGCTCGAACAAGCTCTGTTCACTTATTCTGATATGCACATCAACTTCTGTCTGCAGGAGATCGATCTGAAAGACAACAACTTGAAGACCATTGAGGAGATCATCAGCTTCCAGCATCTCCACAGACTGGTGTGCCTCAAGCTCTGGTACAACCAGATCGCCTATATCCCCATCCAGATCGGCACCCTCACCAACCTGGAGCGCCTCTACCTGAACAGGAACAAGATCGAGAAGATTCCTGCCCAGCTCTTCTTCTGCAGGAAGCTGCGTTACCTGGACCTCAGCCACAACAACCTGACCAGCATCCCTGCAGACATCGGCTTCCTGCAGAACCTGCAGTACTTTGCGGTGACAGCCAACAGAGTGAGTTGAGCATAAATGTGCAGACTTGCACCTCACCTTCCTGTGAGATTCCCTCAGACACTGCTATCTGAGTTCCCTGTAAATCTGCAGATGTACTATGTGTACAGATAGATGATGTATATGGTACATTTCCAGGGTTATTCCTAATAAACAAATTGAATTGAATAGTAGGAACCATTCAAAAGTTTTGAGTCTGTAAGATGTAATAATAATATAAAAAAATAATAAATTAATCATTTTATTCAGCAAATATACATTAAATTGCTCAAAAGTGACAATAAAGAAACTTATAAGGTTACAAAAAAAAAGAATTTCAAATAAATGCTGTACTTCAGCTATTATATATACTGTATATGTAATATTCTAAAATATTGTGTGTACACAGAATTAATATAAATTATATAAAATACACACAATATTTGAAAACTAAAACACACGTGTGTGTGCACGTGTAATTTATATTTAATTTATTTTGTGTATATAAAATAAATATTTCATATATAGTATTTATGTATATATATATATATATATATATATATATATATATAAATGTAATTTATTTTTATTTAAAATATTGTTATTTTTAAATTTTTATTTAATTTGAATACATGTAATTTATATATATAATTTAATTTATAAATAATTTATATTTTATATTTATTTTATATACATCTATATAAAAATAAATATTATATACTGTATGTATGTGTGTGTGTGTGTGTGTGTGTGTGATATATATATATATAGACAGTATATAGATAGATAGATACACACATACACACGGTATAATATATATATAATTTATTTAAAATATTATTAAATTCAATTATTATTAATTAAATTAAGTAATTAGATAAACTAATTATATAATATAAAATGTATATATATGTTACTATATAATATGTATTATAATAATAAAAAAAAAATTCCTGATGCTTTAAAGTAAATACAAGTTCTTTAAAACTTCAGTATGTTCATGGTCTTATTGTGAATGATTCATAAGTGCATATTATACCAAAGAAAAAATGCTTTCATAATCTTTTATGTACTAACTTGCTTACTAATCTAAATCTAAATCACTCATTAGCAAAATAGCCATTTAGTCATTGTTTTTGCTTACTGTTGCAGGCGACGCATCCTTCCTAAAATTATTGCAACACAGCCATCTAATGCCAGTTAACGCTAATTAAATTACAATTACCGCAATCATAGCAAATATTTTTGAGGTTTGTAATATAAAATATTGTGTCTGTGGTGTTTGAGGACGGGAATCCTCTGCAAACTCACAGTGCCAGTGTGACAATGTATCAGAAAGGCGGCTCCAGTTGTGCTTTCGGAAATCCTGTTTGCTGCATTAAAGCCTGATTTCTCAGCAGCTCCAGTCTTTCCACACCCTCGAATCACGTCTTACGCATACCTATCTGTCAGACGCCCATCAGAGCTTTCTCTGGGGCGTAAGCGGCATTAAACGGTGCCATTGTTTTGTTCAATCTGGATTTTTGGATGCGAGTCAACAGTCAGGGTACATACAGACCTAAAGTCCAGGAACATTATGGTGCAACACACACAACCTGTGTCTCTCATGTGTTTTGAGTTTGACGGACACTTGTGCTTGTTTTTAGTAATGGGCGTGTTGGAGAGCGTGTGTGGCATGTTTCTGAAAATAGCACCTTTATGGGACCTCCTGTCGAGGAGTTTGTGCACTTACACACACACACACACACACACACACACACACAACCTTCCCGGTTCTTTCATTAGCTCGTTGTTATCTAAATGAGTTGTGTAATTTGTGTTATTTGTTGAGAATCAAGGTGGATGGTAACTAGATGCACATGTTTGATTTTTAGAGAGAGAGAGAGAGAGAGAGAGAGAGAGACAGTGTGTGTGTGTGCCAAAATTAGCCACTTACTCTGGAGATAATTGGTTTTCCTGTGTATAATATGTTTTCTGGGTCTCCGCCCTGCCGAGCGAGTGGCTTTAAATGGGGCACGTCATTTATTATGAATAGATCATATTACACGACTCTCTGAAATACTTGATTCTGATTGGTCAGTCGTGGCATTCTGCAGTCAAATATTGTCGCATAATGGTGGTTAAACTGGATAACTGAAGCTATTGCCTGCGTGGCTCTGCTGGTTTTGGGTTTCTCATATCAATCAGCGAAATAAACCCTGAGCAAGACACCTGATCCCCCGACTGATCGCTGACTGTACATTACTGTTACATACTGCACAAAACACACAGATTGAATGAGCTGAAATCAGATGAACACTTATTTTTCATTATTTACTCCATTAACAAAAATAACTGAAAATAGTTTATTAGCTACTGAAATAAAACCAAAATTGCAATATGACTAAGTATGATTTATCAAACGGCAAAGGTTGCAATTTAATTAAATATGTTTTATATTTTTATTTAGGTAAGTTAATATTTTTAGTTACTACTACTAATAATTAATTAATTGTTGTTGTTATTATTATTGTTATAGTCACATTGATATTGATATAAACCAGGGTTATTATAGTTAACTGAAACTAAAGCTAAAACCGTAAAAACACATTTTTCTCACTTCAAATACAATAAATTTCAACAAAAAAAAAAAGCTAAAATAGCATTGCTACAAATACAATAAACCACACTTTAAGTTGCATTTGCAGTTTTTATAAACTACATATTTTAATTTTTACTACATTTTCATAAAAGTTATGTACAATAGTGTTTATCTTATTTTCTGTCAATAGATTACATTTTACACACTACATTTGACTATTTTTATAAACTCCATATTTTCTTGTGAAAACTGAAAAAATATTGTGTAATAACCTTTTATTGCAGAAAACTAATGTTCTTCAAAAGCACAGAGACCTGTGCATTATACAAAATAAAGGGAGTATTTTGTTTTATTGTATATGTATTTATTTATTTATTGTGGTTTTAATTAAAGCTACATGCAATAACGTGTTTGTTTTTTATTTTCTTTCATTAGATTACATTTTACACACTGATGAAAGAGAATCATATCACAGCGCTTGTGTGTGAACCATGTTTTGCTCTGTTTCAGATCGAGGCGCTGCCACCCGAGTTGTTCCAGTGTAAGAAGCTGCGGACGCTGAATCTGGGAAATAACTGCCTTACGGTGCTGCCGTCACGTTTCGGAGAGTTAACCGGCCTCATGCAGCTGGAGCTCCGCGGAAACCGGCTGGAGGGATTACCGGTGGAGCTCTCCGAATGTCGCCTTCTCAAGCGCTCCGGGCTGATCGTAGAAGAGGACCTCTTCAACACCTTGCCGCCGGAGGTCAAGGAGCAGCTGTGGAGAACCGATAAAGAACAAGCCTGAGCGAGACAGAGGAACTCTTAAAGGCATAGTCCACCCAAAAATTTACATTTGCTGAAAATCTACTCCCCCCTCAGGCCATCCAAGATGTAGATGGGTTTGTTTCTTCATCAGATTTATAGAAATGTAGCATAACATCACTTGCTCACCAATGGATCCTCTGCAGTGAATGGGTGCCGTCAGAATGAGAGTCCAAACAGCTGATAAAAACATCACAATAATCCACACCACTCCAGTCCATCAGTTAATTTAATACATTTTTGCTTGTGAACAGTGTTTGATCTGTGCACATTTCTCTCCTAATTCAGACGAGATGACGTTTTCACTAGAGAAAGCAATATTATGGACTTCTGGACGCTTCTCAAGACGTTAACTGATGGACTGGAGTGGTGTGGATTACTTGTGGATTATTGTGAGGTTTTTATCAGCTGTTTGGACTCTCATTCTGACGGCACCCATTCACTACAGAGCATCCATTGGTGAGCAAGTGATGCAATGTTACATTTCTCCAAATCTGATGAAGAAACAAACTCCTCTACATCTTTGATATGCTAATGGTGAGAAATTTTTCAGCCAATTTTCATTTTTGGGTAAACTCTAAAGCAGGTCGTTCTGCTTTCAATTCATTTTTTTTTAAATCATTTTTAATTTGGGCGATAACGTTTCTTCTCCATATGAAGGGAAGTTGTGGACAGTACAGTGCCATCTGTGCTTAGAAACGTACACTGATACACTCACTCAAACACGTTCTCATACACAAACACACTTTTTTGCAAGGTCAAGTCATTTGTGTACTGCCCCCTACAGGCACGGAGGGGCATGCATATAAACGACGACTACATGGTGAACATGTGGATGCGAGTGCCTATGTTAAACCAGTGGCATTATGGGAATGAATAGATATAACAAGCAATATGTGGTTTGTACATTATTTACTTAGCGGCTGCGTCCAATCAGGGAAGAGTCGACTGTTTATGAATGTGCCAGCTGAGTTATTAAATACGTAAATTGTACATTTTAGAGCCAATACCCACCGAATTAAATGCCAAAAAGGTGATATACAAAATCTACTACTTATATATGCTTTTAAAGACTATGAATATGATGCCACAAATGTCTTGCTGAAATCTTACACTCCACAGACTCTACACAAAGATATAGAAACTATGAACTCAAACACTCGAATGAACAAACTTTTACCGTTTTGGACGGACTCACATTTGGATCATGTGACCTGCACGTCACATCCCATTGGTCGACTTCTCAAGGGGAGTGATGACGTCATAATGACTCTTGTTCCCACACTATCATGGCCTTAACTCTCTTTGAGCTGTATGCTGGAGCTCATCTCAAAGATAAAGTGTACATTTTGTGTTTATAAGTTTTATAATTTTACAAAAAAAAAAAGAGAAAGAACAAAAAGAAAGCACGGACTCATGCAAACTGTTCATGTGTTTGCAAGAAAAAAAAAACCTATGCGTTAATGTATCTTTTTTTATATGTACTGTATGTGTTCATATGATTTTATTTTCTGATTTTTATTTGAACTTCTCTTTTTGTTCGGAAGATTGCCTAATGTACACAGTATGGCTTTAAACAAAACCAAGTAAAGACTTCTGATGAACATTCAAATGTGTTTTCATATTTTTCACAGAAATGGGTCATTATTGTTAAGCATCTGCTACAGTTGGTTTTTCATAACACAAGGTTAATTCAGAAATGATTGGGCTAGATGATGCAAATATAAAAGTAAACCATATAAAACACTGAAAAAGAGAAACTTCTAAATCATGTGGTCCAAAAATGATAACCCATTTAAAGGAATAGTTCACCCCCAAAAAAGAGACTTCAGTCCATCACTTTTTGACCGAAATATCTATAATAATCTCCTGTTGTTTCTCACTTCAAAATCCATCCACATATTTGTTTAGAACCGTTTTCACTTATTAACAGTGCTTTGTCCATATTTCTCTCCTGATTCAGACAAAACTTTTTCACTGCAGAAAGCAATATTATGGACTTGTAATTTACCCAGAAGCAACATTTTAATGTTAAAATGTCTTGATGGATTTATTTCTTACAAACACGCAGTTTTTGCTTCACATGATGTTATTTGATGGACTGGAGTGGTGTGAATTATTGAGATGTTTTTATCAGCTGTTTAGACTCTGACGGCACCCATTCACTGCAGAGGATCTATTGGTGAGCAAGTGATGCAATGCTACATTTCTCCTAATCTGATGAAGAAGCAAACTCAATTACATCTTGGATGGCCTGAGGGTGAGTGAATTTTCAGCAAATTTTTAATTTCGGCTGAACCATTCCTTTAAAGTGTGTCTGTGTGCAAACCGGCAGATATTCTGATGAAACACTCACTTTTTAAAGTAGTTTTATTAATAAAATGTATATGGCGTTATGCACTAATTGCTATCAAATTGATCAAATAATGTGACAGTTCAAAACCTTATTCATAATTTTAAGTCCTAGCCACGCTTGGCATTGTTTTCTGAAAAGACCCGTAGACACTGACCCATAAGTTCTTAAGTACCACATCCCTCAACAGCACACACACCTTGTGTCAGTGAACACTGGGCCTTTCTGTTTTCTGTGAGTAAGCAGAGGGGAGTACAAGCGCCATGCCACATAAAAGCTCCCATTCATTCACTCTCTGTTAGTGAAGTCATGGTCACTTCCAATTAAACCAAAATAAAAACTCTCTTAAAGGGGTCATATGATGTTGCTAAAAAGAACATTATTTTGTGTATTTGGTGTAATGAAATGTTTATGCGGTTTAAGGTAAAAAAACACACATTATTTTCCACATACTGTACATTATTGTTTCTCCTCTATGCCCCGCCTTTCTGAAACTCGTTGATTTTTACAAAGCTCATCGGTCTGAAAAAGCGAGGTGTGCTGTGATTGGCCAGCTATCCAGTGCATTGTGATTGGCCGAATTCCTCAAGCGTGTGACGGAAATGTTACGTCCCTTACCATATTGTGATGCCTGAGGCAACCACATGTGACGACCCCGGGCTGGACTCCGCTTCGTCCACAGTGAAAGCCGATCCTGTGATCCACAGCGCGAAGTTGTTGTATTTCCTCAGCGACCAGCACAGATCAGCTCCAGGCATGACGAAGCAGATATCGTCCTCTTTTGGAAGACCAAACAAAGTAGTTTCGCTTTCACAACGAAGCACACAGCGTCTTTACGACATGGCGGCGGCCGCAACAATACTACAGCGAGAATAAAAGTTAAGCCTTCTTTCTTTGCGTGAACATTTGGGCGGCATTATGCAAATCTTCCCACATAGTGACGTA